TGTAAATCTCTTTTGTTTGAGCATAAAATTCAGTATAAAAAATAGGAAATCAAGATATCTACATATAATAAACCCCAATAATGGTCAATGATTCCATTTTGTTTCGATAAAATAACTTTATATCGAAGTGACTTGATAAAATATAGTATGCGTATTTTGATGAATATGAACCTAATAGGAATATTCTCTTGCATGTTCCTCATATAAATGATCATTGATTCAAGTAAAATTGGTTTAACATGCAAAAAAACCCCTTTGTTGAATTTTTTTGACAAAAAAAGACATGCAAAAACTTGAAAATATCTATAATGAGCAGGACAAAAAAAGCTGTATCTATCGATCGGTAAGAAATTCTTATTAGACCGAACTGGCCGTTTACCGTCACCTGTTTCAACAGTAATGAGTAGTACAAAGATAGTTTTCTTGTTTCAGCATGTCAGTTTTACTCTTACAACGAAATCACATTAGAATTACTACTCACTTTTCAGGTAAAACATGCCATGCAACAAAATGCGAAATTTTACTTTTTTCATGAAATCAATCAATAAATCTCTGTTTAGATACCTGTCGAAGCGAAAAATTGGATTTATATAACCCTTCTACTGAGTATCTCAGAGTTTCCAGCATGTTTGACAATTTGACGATAGTGCACTTTCAATTATTGAGACAGTTTCATTTACTTTTGTGATTTCGAACCCTCACGATGCAGGGGTAACCTATCAATGGTCAAACCATTGTCAAGAGACAGAAGGTAACACGAGAGAAAGTTGAGGTAAGATTGATGATGATTTTCTCATATACTTGAGACCTGCAAGTATCCTAGGTCAATTATTTTCATCCCATAGAAAGCCAGATGATTCAGAGTTTTGCACGAAAATCGGAATACAGTATTTGCTGGTATCACCTGCTATCTGACGATAAGCATTTATGTGTAATTGGAAATTCAGATTCTTCTAAGTAAAGTGAATAAGATCGTCGATCACTTTGCTCTCACGCACTTGTGCTGTAAAAATAAACCTGAATGGCAAGAAGAAATACAAACTAGGAACAAAATGTCGAGTGACAAAGGTAATTTGTTGATGTGAATTAAAATATTCCTGACTTTGCTGATTGCTTTGGTTTTGATAATATTAATAAATCTCGTTGTATAGACTCGCCCAGCTGCTGCACTAGAACTGGTTGTTCTGAATGCACAATAGGTAACTGTCGTCTCATGTGACCACTGTATGGCAGGACATGAGATCTATTATTCTTAATACGAGTGCCTTAAATATCATGAGATTGTGAATCGAGTGATACATGAATTGACTCTGTGTACAAAAAGTCATCATCTTGCTCAAAATAGTTAAAATCTTGATGTTCAACTGAAAATTGAAATCGAGAGATTCCATCGGATATTTTTCAATTAGTCTCCTTGATGCTATGAATCTTGTATACAAACAAACCGCAAAGCAAGAAGAGAAGCAAGAACGACAAGAGCAAGTTATACTTACCGCTTCTGAAATAGGAATGAGTGCAGAAGGATTTCAAGAAAATCGATTGGTGATAAACAAAGAACGATCATCGATTGCTATAATGGAATATGATTGAAAGATTGAATATCTTTGTAACCACCACGCTGAACGAACAACAACTCTTTCAATATACCAATTCATTCGATGTCGCAGTTTTTTTTATTTTTATTTCATGGTAAAAAGTTAGTGCACAAGATAGTTTTACCTTTTTCACAAATTGAACCCAAATTTTACATTTAATTATGTATTGTACTGATGGATATAAATCATGGAATTTCGATTTTCTTGGCTCCTCAACAACATTTATTTTAGTTAATGATTGTTTTTTTGTATGTTTCTTTCTTATTTTTGATAGAAAGTATTGGTTCATTCTTTTCGTCTTGATCATCCATTGGGAATTATGAATAATTTTCATTTTTCTTATTTATTTTTGAAATTAGCTTATGCATTGATATAGTCATTTTGCGGGAACTAAAGTGTTTTAAAATTGTAGATGATTTTCTTATTTGTTTTTCTTTGATGACGACTGAAAAGTGAGCATTTAAGAACATTCTTAACATGGCTGAAATAGCAGAACAAAGTATTATAATTGCTTAATGCATTTTCTAGATTTGAACCACGGTCAGAGGCGATACTTGATTAATCAAAATCAGTCGAATCAAATGATCCTAAACATTGTCGAACAGACTAAAAACGAGTCAAAGATGAAACACATGTTTTAAGAAAAATTAAAACGATGCAAAATGTTGTTATTCTTGCATTTTTTTCGAATAAAATTCTATTAAAAGAAATATTTTCGTAATTAACAAAGAAGGTCATTCGAACTATCGTCTTACAACGAAAGTAAGAACAGGATGTCCATTGTTATAATCATATTGAATATACATAGGTCAAGAACATAGATTAAATGATTTGCAATTGAATTCGTCACCAATAAATGAAATTGAGATGTACATATAAGTAATTTGCTCATGTGAGTCGGATCATATACCAATACTGACATCAATGCATCCCCATTCTCCTATCATTCTTTTGTTAAACCTCTTACTATTGTGATGATAATCATTAGCACATGTGCACATATGTTAAGCAAACAGATCGATACCGCGAAGGATTTTTTGGGGTGTAGATTTTCACTTTATTTACATCTACATCTATATCCTCTTGTCAGGTGAAATTGATCTTCTTAATGATGAATAGTTAATGTAATCGACTAAAACAATTAATGATTCGTGAATATATTAAAAGAAAATATAATGATCCTGAAGGAAAAGAACATGTTGAATACCTTGAAATTCATTATTATTGTAAAAACCTTGCGCTCGATCGTTCGAAGCAGAACACATTCTAAATATCCAAAATTGTCGAAACTCATGAACAACATACGTCCCATGTCACATGTCAATGCTATTGCTGAATGAGATTTTAGTAGTAATCGAAACCTTCTCGTCAGAGAACGTAGTTTTTTATCAAAGAAAACAATAAATGGAGATTTCATGCTACTGATAATTCTGTTAAATTTGTAAGTTATAGATTGGTGCATAAGATGAAGAATTATAATAATGACTAAAGTTATTCAATAAAAGTAAAAGCCTTTGTTTCAGATGCTGACTACATACTAGTGATATGCTTCGTGTAGTACACAAATCGACATCATTATACAACGAAACAACATTGAAAATAACACACTGGCTGAAGATCAGCAGTCAGTAGACAAACAATATGAGAAGATGGCACTCTGAGTAAATAGAATAGTCTGAAGAGAAATAAAAACTTATGCTAAGATATAAAAAGAACTTCTATCAGAGAAAAGGACAATTCAGCTACTCTTTGATGAAGAAAGAAATCAACGTTTGAAAAGTTTTTTGAAAAATGAAAATTATACTGATTTACAAACTATATATGAATTGAATGAATGTTGGATTGAAAGAATGCAATCTACCGATAAAGAAATGATGAAGCTTAGGAAAGACGTATCAATAATTCAAAAGAAAAACGAGTTCATGTAGGATATGAAAAATCAAACAAGAAGTGTAAATTTGCTTTTGAACAGTTAATAACAGAAGATGTACAAATTTATTGATAAATAGGTGTGTCTTGGAGATAGAATTGTCAGATGAAAGTGTTTTTATGATCAATTCGATCTTTTGCTTTGCATTTGTTATTCTTTTTGTTTCAAGTAGTTCTTTTTCTCCTTTGTTTTTTTGAAAGATGTGGATGAATATTCGTTGAAATCGTAATAAAGGTTTTTATTAAAACATCTCGAACGTACACCTATACTTAAAACTGTATAAAAGTCATTTTCTTCAAAAAAAAAACATAATTTCTTCTCTTCTCCATTTTATTAGCATATTCTACAAAACTTTTCAATTCAAATCTTCCTTATTTCTTCTCTTTCTCAAACTAGTGTTCAAATGTCAACTCCATTTGTACATATATAAATTTCCATAAATTATGAGAATTTGTAACACTTTGAAAGTTACTCGACAGCAAATACACACAACATGACTCATAGATGTTAAAATTAGTATCAACTTCAACGTTAGCCATTCTATGCAATTGAACATACAATACTTGGATGAAGACACCTATAGTAGCATGATCTATCAATACTTGTGAAAATTAATTTCAGTTTAAATATTTTCTTTTTATTTACTTGATCTAATATTCTATCAATTTAGATGCATTGAATGAGTTAAAATTTGATTTCTAACTATAACATGATCCATTATTATCAATATGAAGCCATTGAAAATATCTCAATCATATTATCTAGAATTAAGATTTGCATGGATTTTGAAACTTCTAATCGATTTTTCATGTAAAATTAATTATAGACTAGAGAATCTATTATGAAATTCAAAAACGATTATTTCTCTAACGTGTTGTCGAATTACAATTAAATTTACCAAAATAACTTCTGCAAAAAGCAGATTTTAACAACTATGTAGATTGTCTTATGTATAACAAACAAATTCTTGATTGTTAGTTGAAAATTTCTCACCGAGATGTCTGTCATAAGCATATTGACATTGTAACGTTTAGTTTATTAGATGTTTTCAGAATACATCAACCTGACTATTGATGTCTACTTAACTAACGGAATGAAACAAACCGAAGAATAACCAACATTGTTCAATCTGTACTACTAGAAAAGAGATTCACTTATCATTTACAACTGTCAAACTCTCACAATCATTTGACGCAAAACATTTGTGATCGTAGCTTAGAATGCTTCATGTATTTTGATGAAAAGTTATTTATTCGTTGATAGATAAAATATTGAAAAATATAATTTATATAAAAATAGAATCAAGAATCAAAGTTCAAGTAGAAATAAATGTTTCTTAAAAGCTTCAATCTGGACAACTATCAACGTAGGAGATAACCTAATGTTGTGATTAGTATCATTGTTTCCATAGCTGAAAGTAAACAAAACATTTAATAATGATTTATATTTAATATGTATGAAACATTAACATTCAACTAACTTTTATTCACTATCAATAGAGTGTTTGAGCAGCTTGGTGTAGATGACGTTGTCGTCATTATCATTATTGATGTTGATGATGCTGTTGATATTGTTGTCCCTGTTAGTGTTGTTGATGCCATTGCTGTTACTGTTGTTGATGTTATTGCTGTTACTGTTGTTGATGTTATTGTTGTTGTTGACCCTGATGATATTGTTGTCGTTGTCAATGTTGTTGCTGTTGTTGATGTTGCTGATGCTGTTGTTGTGCTGCTAGTTTGTCCTTGTGAAGAAGGTATATTTATCAGTAAGATGAATATGAATAAAAAAGTTAGCAAAGATAATTTTTTTCGCATTGCCTGAATAGTGTCGTCGTTGTTAATAATATTGTAATAATATTACTTACGCATGTATACCTTTTATATTTATACAATCGTTTCAGCAATTTAGGTCGCTCTGTTGAGTCAAAATAAGAGAGGGCGTGTAATATTTTCACTGAATATTCGTCAACAGCGATCATACTTTAAAGATCTATATTCAGTGATATAGTTTCGAAAATAAATAATAACATACCTTACGACATGATTAGTATATAATTTCATTCCAATATCACGGCTGTTCCCCCCCCTTTCTTTAAATACCTAATCAATAGAATGAAGTACAACTATGAATAATTTGCCGTCATATACAATAACAGCAAGAGGAAAAAATCCAGAAAATGAATATTTAATAATATTGATGCTGTAAAAACTAAAGACCATTCTATTCTTCGGCCTTACTTCCATTCTCAACTAAACATAAGTCAACAAAAAAACATCATTTCAATCGTTTTTCAAAAATACTGTATTCTGCTCACATAGAAACTATACGGAAGCTCATTGCATATGAAAGAAAAAAAAACAGAAAATTTACTGGTATATAACAGAAATATACATGAAAATGATTACCTCCTAAGTTCTCGAAAATAAAGGATACTATCAATTTTAGTTATTCAGTCCAAATCATCTTAATTGCTGCAATAAGGAAGCCAAAAATGAGACTAGTTTTCAGTCGAAACAAATGATACCTTACTACCGTTGCTTTGTCAATAATACTTAAGCTGCTAATGCTTAGGATTTCAGATATTTCATCAGTATGACGAATCGTTCCACCAATCAATACATCGGCTCGCAACATCAGATTTTTACTATGAATAAAGAAAAAAACCTTTTATAGTAAATATATTATTCATTTCGAACACAAAAACCAATTCCGATCTATTTAATATCAACCAATCATCATGAAGAAATCTTATCAAAAATAAAACATACAATGTCTATTTATTGGCGCGTTTCAGGCTTCCCGTATTATAACATACTTTATCCATTCATGTTAATACGCGATAAATTAGACGAAAAAGTCAAGGAAGCCGAAGTACTTTAAGCCATACAAAGAACTATTGAATTTATCAGATAAAGTACCATTAGATCGGATTACTCAACTCTTTACTCAAGCAAGTTTAATAGCTCCTAGTGACAGTAAACCAAGTATAGGCAATGTATTTCGAAAAGATTTGTAGAAAATATTTTTTTAAAGAATTTTTCATTATCTTGATTATGCAACAGTTCATATAATGATAAAAAACTAAATTGATTGGTTCAATTCTGTCCTAAAAAGGAAGAACAAAGACATATAATAAATATATGAACTAGTAGTAGGTGACAAGTTCTGGTAATGTCACACGATAATGGCAACAATTCGAATGAACTAAAACTACTTAAAGAAGAAAATCTCGATCAACTTTAGTTAGACATAGTAAACGAATGTTTACACGATGTTTTGTGTATTTTTGTTAAAACAATTATTGGAATACAGTTTAAAAAGGAAAGCATAGGAAAATAAGAGAAACTTCTAATCAGTGATACTGTACACAAAAATATTTTCGAACTAACTATCGATGCAATGTGGAAGCGAAGATCATCGATAACCGTTCACGACATCGAACCGTGCATTCATTGAAAGGTTTTTTCTTATTATCTTATTATAGATCATATCATATTTATTTGATACCTACTATATTCTACGAGCAAAG